GCACTGTCGGAGGGCCAGTGCTGAGGGAGCGCCGCACTGTCGGAGGGTCAGTGCTGAGGGAGCGCCGCACTGTCGGAGGGTTAGTACCGTGGGAGCGCCGCACTGTCAGAGGGTCAGTAATGAGCAAGTGTTGCACTATCGAAGGGTCAGTGCTGAGGGGGATGACAATGATGACTGTGATTAAGATTTAAAATAAAATTATTTATTGCAGCAGGGTGGGTTTTGGAGGAGAGGCCAGTGTCATTATTTTCTTCGCAGTTCATCCTGTAGTGATTAGAACAAGGGCAGCCAGGTGGACCTCGTAGAATAAGAGCTTCCAGATTGGGGCTGTTAATGTGGTCTGATCAGGGAGCCCTGGCTGACAGATTAAAAAGAGACATGTCAGATGTTCAGTTACTCTGGTGCCTGACTCTGTAGGACACGGTACTAAGGTCAACGACTGTTCTTGTATAAATAAAGGGTGACTTGGTGATGGATACTGGCCTCTGGAAATTTCATAACTTGTTTTGGGAATCGGGCAGGCTGAGAATCTTGGATTGTAAACAAACCCTTTCCTGCAGAGAAATGAGAAGTCAGGGCTGGAGAAAGGGAGTTTCTCCATCACTCAGTTGGTATAAATTCACTTCTGGGTGGGGAGTGGATGGGACAGAGGTGTGGGAGAGGGGGAGTTGGAAAGCTAGTGGTTTGTTGTCAGACCACCCCTCCTGTAACCATTGTTTGTTTAACCATTAAGGGCTGTTGTCATTGAAAAATCACAAGAGAAAATTACGGAGAAAAATGAAAATAAACTCGAGATGCGAAATACAGGCCTGGAGTTTGGTTACTTCCTCTCAAGGTTCTCAGGATTTATCCACCCTTTCAAGATCCAAAGTGATCCCCAACAATGAGTTTCCAGTTGCCACTGATTGGAGATGAGGCTGAGTATGTTCAGGCTAACTGTGACAGCAAGATGCCATATTCTGGTTATCACTTTCACCCGAGCCTGGTCTTCAGGGAGAGAGAGTCCAGGAAACACCACATGAATGTTTCCAGAAATGTTAGGTCAATGCAATGGGTCAGTGCTCCAGGGAATTTCTATCTCCAGCCACGCTGACGGATTGCAGACTCTTCCATTTCTGTATTTTTCTATGACACAAAAATGGATCTCCCTCTCCCCCTTCATTCTATAAAACTCTGGGGCTGCTCAAGACAAATTCATGTTCCCAGTGACCGCAGGCAAAGTGCTTCCACACCCTGTGTTCCCAACTCAATTTCGGGGATTTTATTGATGTGGCTTGGTCTGTTGTTTAAGGGCCAGCGCTTTCATATTTGTTTCAGATTGCTAACTTTTCTCTTTATTTTCCCTCCATCTGCTTTAGGTCAGAAGACAGATTATTCCCTTGCCAGGTAAGATTTGCTGTTCACTTTACAAAGTCTGAATTTTCTCGGTTTTGTCATCATAGGCTTTACACGTGTGTGCACTACCCAGTTACATACTCGAGATGGTTATAGACTCAGGGCATGGTTATAGAGACATGGACACAGTAATAGGGACACTGGACACGTTTAGGGACACTGGACACGTTTAGGGACTCTGGACACGTTTAGGGACTCTGGACACGTTTAGAGACTCTGGACACGTTTAGAGACACTCAACATGGTTATAGAGACACACCACAGTTATACTCAGACACAGACAGTTATAGACACAGTTAGTTATAGAGACAGTCGACATGGTTAGAGACACAGACATGTATAGACACTGGACATGGTTCGAAACACAGACATGATTACAGACACTCGACATGGCTAGAGACACGGGCACGGTTATAGAGATGGACATGGTTATAGACACGGGCACCGTTATAGAATTTTAGACACGGTCACGGTTATAGAGACACGGTCACGGTTATAGAGACACGGTCACGGTTATAGAGATTGACATGGTTATAGACACGGGCACCGTTATAGAATTTTAGACACGGACACAGTTATGGAGACACGGACACGGTTACGGACACGGTTATGGAGACACGGACACGGTTATAGAATTATAGACA